ATACAATGAATATATGAAGTTCATATATTTTGAACTGCGGTATTAGATACGTATGATGCACGATCCTCGCAGCAGAGAGCGCTATTTATGCAATAGCGAAAATCAGGCCTGTACGGCATTCGAACCACTGACCTCTGTGATATTAGTGCAGCGCTCAACTGGGAGCAGGCTGTTAAGTTGATTCGTAATAAACCCATGATGATAAATCAGATACAATGAATATATGAAGTTCATATATTTTGAACTGCAGTATTATATACGTATGATGCACGATCCAGTAGAGAGCGCTATTTATGCAATAGTGAAAATCAGACCTGAAAAAAATCAGGCCTGTACGGGATTCGAACCACTGACCTCTGCGATACTAGTGCAGCGCTCTACCAATTGAGCTAACAAGCCAACTGGGAGCAGGCCGTTAAGTTGATTCGTAGTAAACCCGTGATGATAAATCAGATACAATGAATATATGACAATATATGATATATATAAGTAGTAAAACATCTTCGCATATATAAACTTTACGGAGATGTTTCTTACATCCTCACAAATTCGACACTTAACTGGGCCAGCTCGCTTGGCAATCCGGCATTAAAGTTTAGCGTCTCTTGCTCTACCGTAATTCACAAACACCTGGAACAACTCACACTACTCTTTAAGCTTTATCCACTGCCTTCAAATAGTCAGGAAGAGAAAACGTGATATTAGTGCATACATATCTTTTTTCGAAAATGATGTCATTCATTTAAGCGCGATGGCATGAAATATAATCTTTAAAAAATATATGGTTAATGTTGCCACAGCCTGTTAAAATGAAGAACGTCGACAAAAGCTTCTGTAAAGACTCATGTAAAGAAAAGCTTTTTGTTTCTTCCTATCCGATAACATATATGGTATGCGTCAGCTTTAAAAGAATGTTAATTTAAGTAAACTTGAACAAAGAGGATCTAACTCCCTGGACAGCCAAGTGCTCGTCTGGTTGTCTGCTTTACAGCTTGCCTGACTTCACTTATCTTCCAGCAGTAAAGAAACGAATTTAATGACGAGTTAAAGTAAACTAAGGAAACTGCTATTCCATATGAGATGACTAAGTGAGATGAATATGTTTTGCCATAAGTTGCCATAGCTTGCACAACACCAAATGGTGAAAAACAAAAAGCTATTGATAACTGCACCCAAAATGCACTGTAAACTGTCTTTCTGTATCGCGCGATGTTTAGTGGATTTGGTTGGCTCAGCTGTTGCTGAACATGATCCTGTACTTGTGCTTGATGCTGACTGAGAGTGCGGAAAATCTGCGCGTACGACGCGATTGAAATCCTTAGGCAAGATTGCCTAAACAAGTGGCCAAATCAATTAGTTATACGGTGATCAAAAATGTAGCACGACGCAGCAACCCAAGGTATAACCCAAAGAAAAGCTATTGCGATATACGTGCGTTTCAAAGTTACAATTTGTCCGTATCTCAGCCCAACAACAGGGCAAGAAGTCTGTCCACCCTTATAGACGTCATTTTTCTTACACGACGATACAACGTTGACTTCCTGTGCGAATTACAGCTCAATTGTTAGACTAGAGCAGAATCTGAATTCCTCAGTTGCTGAAATTGCCGAATGGCAGCTTCCAACGAACTAACGATCAACGAAAGAAAGACCAAAGCTACACTCATTACTGGTAAGCGTCTCGTCTCGAAGATCAATTACGAGATGGCTTTAACTATTAATGGAACTGAAATTGAACTTGAACTTGTCCCCAGTGTTAAACTGCTGGGTCTTGAAATTGACACTGAACTAGCATTTAATTCTCATGTTGAGAAACTATGTAAAAAGCTGTCCCGGCGAATCGGAATATTGAAAGATACGATCTTGCCTTGAAATAGCACTAGATAGAAGCTCTTCCGATTATTTTTGTTTTATTTTCTGGTTGCCCATTATTAACCCAAGAAACCTCAATTCAATCTCCTTGCCTTGTTGTGTATGATTTTTCGCAGTCGTCTTATCTCACTTGATTGAAGGACATGGTGAGATTTCGCTGCTTCCATCAAATGGCTGGTCATATCCTTTTTCTTAACGATTCTGTGGCAACCTAGGACCTTGCACTGTGTGGCTTTTTCCTGGCAATCGCTTAAATGAAGGGTTATGTTAGTTCTGAAATGAAGAGAAAGAAATTATTTTAAGTGTTTTGTATTTGCATTTGTTTCTTTTATAACTACCGAATGATGTGAAAAATAGGTAAAAAAATCTCACCTCAACTGTCAATTTTATCCGTTGCTGAAAGTTGTTAACGATAAAACGATCCCTATTTGATTTGAGGGCATAACATAACACACACCAATGAATCCTAACCCTTTTTTTCCATGTATCCCTTTCTTCTGCCACTTAACAGAGTCGATTTCGGCATGAGGCGTGAATTTTGATTCTCTTTGTGCCCGCATACATCTGTGGTAACAAAATAATGGCCTCGTGCATATAGTGAAGGCCAAAATGAAATCTCTGACTAAGCCATAAACATACCTTGGAAATACTCTCCCGCAATTCAGTGGACAAGGTATGAGGGCATTGTCACATCTACCAGCACGGTGCTCTTCATACATTTCCCAACTCACATATTTTCTGCATTGAGGACATGAAACCTTCCTCTTCGTGCATAATAGAGCATGGGAAGGCATTTCGTGGCGTGTTATCTTTATTTGGCATCCAATATTATGACATGGTATGGGTAGTTTCGCGCAGTTGGGAAAATGCTCCGCAGCATTTCCATAACCTCCCTTCCAACCACAGCCAGCACTAAGGCACTCCACCGCCAAGGAGCTGGTTACGTGGTCGAGTGCGATGTTCACACCCATTAATGCTGCTTGAAAGCCTTTTCTACACACGGGATATTTGGGCGCTTTCGCTTTCTTTACCAATTCTGTTATACATTCGTGGCATCCAGACTGGCCACAAGTTAAACTGACAGGCTTTAGCATAGTGTTGTAACTGAAACAGTAGGAGAATCCACCCTTGCAACTGTCATTGCAGCTACTCTATTCCAACTAATAACCTGCCATTTTCATTCTTATCATACTCACCAAATCGAATAGACTAATTGCTGTTCTACCGGGACTGTAAAGCGACAGTTAAACGCCACCTCTGGTCTTGTCTGAGTCATTATTTATATTTCTACAATTATCCAATTCTTCTCCCTCCGGTTTCGTGGGAACTGTTAACCTAAGTAAAAACGTGGCCAGAAAGAAACCAAGCTCTTTCATTACCCAGATAAAAATATCCTTTTGTCTCGTTGACAGTCGCTCAACAGTAAAAATTCCGGAAATGCATGAAATTAATTACCGATGATTTTATGAATATTTTCTCACATTGAAAGGTGTTAGGTGTTGCGTTGGTCTTTCTTCGTTGATTGCTCGTGTTATCAGTTTCTACCAAAAAAAATTTTCGTTACAAAATTTTTCTATGAGAACCATTCCGTTGCTATCATGCTTTTAAACTACCTGATCGCACCGGGACAAGGAGTGCGATCTGTTCTCATCCAGTGGCTTCAAAGGCGCCGTTTGCTTCCAGGTCCACTACATTGTGCTCATTGCAATCAAGGCATGGAGTTAATTAGAAGAAACGAAAACCGCGTTGATGCATTCCAATGTTAGGTCAATCATACCAGGATTAGGTACTGCGGACTGATTATCAAAGAAATAGGATTTGATTTACTCCCCTTTTGCTGAACAATACAATTCCTCTCCGGTAATTCAACAGACCAAGTTCCCGAATGTTCATCATTTTTTGATGTTTCCTCGTAATTTATTACAGGCGGTCGAAATCTCCTTCATTATCCGCTTTCTTACTGAGTTTCTGCCTAGTTAGGACTCGTTTTATTTTACGTTAGCAGTTACATCTTGACAGCTTGTTGTTATTGACGATAGCCGACAATCAAGCGAGAGTGGCAATGCTACAAATGGCTACACGCGGGTCACCGTGGGGGTGAACCATTTGCTGTGCGCAACGATTCTTAGCACCGCTTACGAAAATCTTGTGAACCAAGTAATTCAACATCTCACTCGTAATTTATGTGCCTTTTTATCTCACAGGCGATGCGGGGGTGTTCTAAAAAAAATAGCCTAAGGACGAACAGCTTCTTTGCCGAGTTTTCCAAAGTGCCGATTGCTACTCTCCTCTTGGCCATCTTTTATTTTACACAAGATGACCCTCAGCAAAGAATTGTCCGGGCACTAGGCATAAACGCCAGCTTAGTATCGAAGATAGTCAGACGCCTGCAAGATGTTTGTTCTGTTGATCTGCTAAACAGATCAGTTGTTCCATTTGGAGGACCTGGATGCGTGGCTTGGTGCGACGAAAGCAAATTTACTCACAGGGCGAAGGTAACCTGAAATGAACCTGATAATCAACATCACACATATCTTATTGTCAAAACGGACATCTATAGGGGTGGTTTGTTAACCATTTCGAAATAATCTCATTTGCAGTGTTTTTTCCTGATCTTTCTTCATTCTATTCGCATGCACTAAAGTTATCCCCGACTCCTTAAGGTAACACTTCACTCTCAATAACGCCTTTGATGGCTCATTAATTACGCCGGAATTTATTGCGCATCTGCATTAAGGCGCTGTTACACCAGGCAATTTCTCACTCTTACAACTTATCTCGCAAACAAGTTACCTCAATGGTGTTACACTGGGCCACGTTTCTTGCAACCTACACTGGGCAACGTTTCTGGGGCTACTGGTCGTTAATGTCGTTTCAAAATCACCGTCTCCTTTCGGTGGTGTATTCAGTGAAACACCTGCTTTAGCGCATTCCAATTATGGCGCAGATAACCCAATTCGAACTAAATATTTCGTTTGTTTATTCTATAAAATACGAAAAGGCCGCGACATCAGCCTTTAACGTGAGATCTCATTTAGTCCTGTTCAGTTTACATAAGGTTAGGGAGCACATCACAATACCCTAAGGTCGTTTTATTTTTTTTCCAATTTGCTCTCCATTGCGTGCGCGTGGATTTCATCAAGTGAAAATCAGCGTTTCCCAGCACGTCCTGTCATCGAACCAATCAGGTGTCAGTCTGAGGTCCATTTCGCGCTTATTTTCTCTTTTATCTACGTTGTTGCTGTAGCCACCGTGTTCTATTAGCACTTATGCTTGAGTTGCTTTATTGTTCTTATCTGCCGAGACAAAAATTTGGTTTTAACGTTGACCAAAGGCTTGCGGCATAATCTTCCTTCAAGCAGCTATTTAGCTTTTGACATGGTATCCCCTGTTGCCTTTCGTTATTAGAGATCGGGTTGATAATAATATTAACAATAATATCTTTATTTTTCTTGCCGATGCGCGCTTAGAGTTCTTTTCAATTCCATCAAATTATTCATAGACGTAAGTTCTTTTGGTAAACTGGTGAAATTGTAATTATCACTCTCCGGACGCGGGTTTTGCATTTTCTACAGTATTTCATTGCAAATCTCATAGTTAGCTTCTTTACTACAACGGTGTGTTCCACCCTATGCCTAAATATTATGTACTCACTCTGGAAAAATTTACTCTTTTTCTACTTTTTGCTATCACGATGGCGTTTCAAGAAATGCAGGAGACTTACGCTTGTTCCACAAATCACCGTTTTGGGGGTGTTTCGTGAATTTTAGTGATTCTTGGTTATGGTGGATATATTAGGAGGGGGATTTATACAGTTTAAAAAATACAATTTTAATTTGGCCTGTACAGCCCCCGAAATGATCCCGACCCTGAAATGATCCCCGACCCTGAAATGATCCCTAAATCGACCCTGAAATCATCCCCAAATCGACCCCTGAAATGATCCCAACCAACGACCCCCATTTTTCTTTTTGTCAACCACGAAATGACCCCCAAGGAATTAGGGAATGGTGATTAAACAGGACTGTGGATTACTTTTTTGTTCTTTGTTGTAATGCTGCAATCCTTTCATTTATTTTTATTCTTACGAAGTTTCAAACAAAGGGAAACTACAGTACACCACAGTTAACTCGAAGTCTTAAGGGAAACGAAAAACTGCTTGAGTTAGCGGAGTTTCGAGTTATCGGGGTCGAATTCAATTTTCCAGGTTAATAATTTATAGCTTATTGATTTTCAGCACTTCGGTATACAATGCAATGCAAATTAAGCTTATTTCACGAGAAACTAATACATTTGTAACAAATGTAAAAATTATGCATTCTTAATACAATGCAATAGTTTGCATGTAACTTAGTTTATTTAATACATTCAATTTATGTTTCCTTTTGCGTCCGGGTCGAGAGCATATCGTATGTATTTGTGCAGACATTCCAATGTACACATGTTTACTGCACTGTGACATACCTTTCTTCATGTGACAGCAAAGACCCCACATCAGGAATGACTCTTACGATCGATAAGTAACTTTCATTTGCATTCCGCCTTTCATAAAAACATTAATTAGCTTCAGCGCATCTTTTGCAAAATTTTCCCTTTTCTTAGTCTACTTTATTCTCTTTTAGTTGTTAATATCGGCGCCATAAATCAATTTATTACATGCGCCAAAATGCTTTTACTTTCCCTAATTTTCGAGCAATCCACATTCTCTAATTCATTTCGGGGTCGACAAGAAGAAAAATGGGGATCATTTCAGGGCTGGGGATCATTTCGGGGTCGGAATCCTTTCGGGGGCTGTACAGACCTTTTTGCCGGTATCCCCTATGGTTAGAAGTCATGTGTTGAAACGGCCGCCTTCGTAAGGCTCCACCATGTTTTAAGGATATTTTTGACAATTTCCGACTGGCATCCCCCTACCAAATATGGAAGGCCCACCACCGCGAAAACACTAGCAGCTCTTTTTTCCCCAGTAAGTTCGAACCAAAACTAGTTCCGGGTTATATTTTGTTTCGGAACAAATGATTTTGTTTACCTTGAAGTACCCCTTCCTTTTATCGTTTATCTTTGACCACCTTGCCGATAAACTTTTTAGTTTTTTCAAATAGTTATGGCCACCCTTTTCATTCAATGTTGCATTTATCTTCAAATTCTTCGATCTTTCGTTGCGATGTGAAATCTAATATTACTAAGTCAGTATATTTACAAACTTCCTTTTATTCATTTCTATCACCGAGGTTCTGTCGCAGGTTTTCTTTGGAAAGCGGTTTTTCACCCCACCCATTAGAAGCCTTGATATCAAGTTTTCCGACGGCGACTTAGGGACATACATTTCCCCGAAAACTCCCGAGTGGTTATTGGTGTACGCACTTCCAGGTTAACAGCATCAAGAGTAAAACTTTGTTTCTCTTGCACGCTGTGAAACGTCCTCGTCCAATACCCTGATATCAATGCAACTATGTTAATGGTTTGTACTAACATATATCGTTTAGTTTCCAGTTGCAGACATTTGTTGCTACCTTTAATTACATAGATTAGCATTTCCCGATGCATAAAATGATAGGGAACGTCATGTTAAAAAACGGAAATACATGAAGTGGTTCTTGTGTTTTAGGCGCCTCAAAGATCCTTGCTTTTTCCTCGTTGTTGACTAACGCTTTAGCGTGTAATTTCTCTTTACAATTTGCGTAAACGTGAGCAGAAGTACTTCGAGTGAACCATGAATGTAAAGCACTTTGTCCTATCTTTATCAATATATATAAATATTTCTTGTTTTGTTTTTCGGTTTTGTTGTATGTGCCTATCCTGTCAATAAGACTAAACGTGGTATTCGCGTGCGTTCACGATTATGTGACGATGATGATATATGGATTCTTGAATTGTAATTGAAGATAATTAATCGTGAGCAATGCCACTGAAAGTTAACGAGAGAGACCTTTGCTGGCGGGGTTACATTTGAATGTGAATTTAGAGTTCTAAAGAAAGGAGAGGAGGAAGTAATTTTTCTTAGGGGGTGAGGGGCGTTTGGGAGACACCAACTGCCAGTTGTCTTCAACCCTAGAGTGCCCCAGTTTGGTAGAAGGGACTATTCTGGTGTCCAGTATGTCAAGTTTGACTTCAAAATGTAAAGCATTTTGAACACTCCCGGTCCCAGTGGCGTCAGCTTCAAAACATCATCTTCTTCGAACGTTTTGTAAAGTAGTGTCTCATACAAAACAAAACCAAAAACAAAACAAGAAATATTTATATATACATATTGATAAAGATAGGACAAAGTTGTTT